AAGAAAAAGAAAGACTTTCAGGTTATCGTCCGAGTCATGAAAGTCTGAATATGAGAAAGACTCCTCCAAGTCAGCCCAACTACCAGCTGTTTGGATTAGGTTTCCAAAGCCCTCCCCCAGCAAGAAAACGGATGCGCTAACGCGCAACGGCTTTCGCGCTAGTTGCTCAATCCCTTGCTTGTTCAGTCGAGCACTTCGTACCTCTAAGGGTTTCGGTTCAAATCCGAGTCCTCACTTAGTTTCAAGTAAGAAGTCCGAAGTGAAAAAGCCATAAATTCCAACCATTGGACCTATTTATTCGGCTCCATCACGGCGAGCAGAGCGGGCGGACATGTCCCCTATCGACTTACTTAATGTTGGGCGAAAGCCGGTGCGCTACCGATCCGATACAAGTACCGGATTGAACTTTAGAAAGCCTATGGCCAATACACCCACGGTTCCAGGTCCAAAGGCGGAGGCTGTTACAGTCCTTGTCGGAGCGCAGTAGTTAGTAGGTGAGGTGCGCTCTAATTATATCTGTGAGAGGAGAAGACCCGAGATAAAAGACGCAGCAGAAAGCCTATAGGTTACGGAATAAATAGGGTAGGGGCTGGCTGGCAAGGTTAGCTGAGACGGGATCAAACTCTTCTTTTGACTTTCTCAAAGACCGGCTCAAACGTATTACTGAAGCTGAAGGAAGTGTAGCCGGCCGGGCTAGCCCCTGTATCAAAGTTCGCTTATCGTGCTAAGGCGAATGAATATCGCACCCTTTGGTGACCGGTGACCTACTTCTTCTTCCATAGCTAGACAGCCCTTTTAGTACCAGATTCCGAAAAATAGGAACTCTTCTTTTGAGCTTGACCAGCCAGCGGTAGCTTCAATCGCTATCGTCTTGAAGAAGTGATCAAAATCAGGGAGAATCATAATCATAAGAATCCGCTGAATCTGTTTCAGTTCCTGAATCCGCAGAAGAAGAAGAGGCTCGATGTATATTGACGTTTTATTAACCGGCCGATACTCATGAGTTGAGTTCCTTACTGGGTAAGAAACTACTTAAATCATATTATCATTCCATCAGTTCGAATCTATTTACGCTATTTCTTTATTTACACAGTTTTCATTCAATTGCTTGCTCGCTGAGGTACGGGGTTCTCGACTGATAAGGAGAGGATTGTAGCGACTGATAAGGAGACCAATACTTTAGTACGAGGTTTGTAGATGCTCGACTGAGTTGGAGTCCAATACTTGATCTTTCTCTCGACTAAAAGGAGTCCAATTCATGTTGTGAGTTGAGAGGTTTAGGGATTAGACGGCTTCAGCTGGTGTTCTGTCTTGGGGAGCTAGTGGGTACTTAAGCGACTGCTTGTATTAGTGTCTGTAGTTCCTTTCTTTCGGTGTAGTGGCCTGAAACTTTTTGTTATGGGGACCCCAGTTCTCAATCAAAAGAAAGAGCCTTAACCGAGAGTGTTTTTGCGAGGGAAGATTTGAAAGACAAGATGTTTTTAGTGGTGTTGGAGGGTCTTCTCAAAACAAATAACTAAGGAAAAGGAAGCTAGCCTATTTTTTTAGCTATTCTAGCCTTTGAAAGCAGTCCCATCGGCCTCTTATCGTAATACTGCATACCTGGCATTCGTAGATCAAGGAATGGACTAAGCGCTAGTACCCTGCAAACAGCCTATTTGTACTAAGAGAAGGCGCAAAGATCTCCATCTCTGCATCCTGGACCTTGCCATTAGTACATGAGTA